AGGTCCCTCGACAGGAGGAAGATCCCAGAAAAGTAAGAGAAACTGCTCCGGGGGCGATTTTCGACTATTTTGGGGGTATTTTTGGGCATGTCTTGACCATCTACAATTTTTCGTCCGAGCTCCCCCTGAAGGGGGACAGGCCCGACCCGAGACTGTCGTGGGGCGATGCCTGGCCAGTGCCTCCCGGGCCTTCCTCCCCACCGCTCCCGGGTAATTACGCTGCTGGGCGCGGCGAGGCGGCACCTGGGCGATGATCGGGAGCGCGGTGCTTATGATGCTCCAGCCGACTTTAGCCTCGATCGCCAGAAAGAATTTCGAGCACCATGAAGGTGCCAAGACTTGAGTGTCTTCACGTGTCGGGCCCGGGGGGGGATACTCGCTCGACGCTGCTTCGCTACTGTTCCGGGTGCCCGGAATCATGTCCGGGATGTGGTCCTTAAGTGCGGGGGGCGCAGCACAGCGCTAAGTATGATTGCTGTCTCCTCGAGAGCAAAGGCGCCGTCGCAGCCGCAGCTAGGATCCGCTCCGCAGCGTGGGTCGCGCTGAGCTGCTCGTCCCGAGGTTAGAGGGGGGCCCTGCAGGCCGTGCGTGGAGGGCCGCTCAGCGTTGCAGCGTGACGTGCGCCAGGGCCTCTTGCCAATGCTGCCGGGGATGAGCGCCGGGAAGCCACCAGCGTAGGATGTTCGGGGGCGGAAAGAGGGGGGTGATGACTAGGGGGGGGTGGATATCATGGCGTGGGCCATGATATTTTCCCAGATTTCATGGCGCCTCTTCTTGTTTCATTACGTCCCTGGCCCCCCCGCTGGGCCGCGCACATGCCGCCGGTCATGATTTGCACCCCCCCCTCTTTGACGCCCCCCTCTTGGCCGCTCCCGAGTAGGATGTGGATTCCCTGAACCTGGACACCTGCGCACCAGCGGACATCATATCTTCATCCTGGGGAGCCGCAGCCAGAAAAGGCTGCGCCTCGGCCCGCTGGTCGAGAAGCCATGGATGACTGTGACCAGCAGCTTGCGCAGCACCATGGTCAGCAGCGGTGCACGTCGCCGCACTGTTAAACGTGGCAGCTTCGAAGGACACCTGAGCTGAGACAAGCCTAGGCGGCCTGGTGTCGATCAAGGGGTGCTCCTGGGCCTGCTGACTCACGGCGTCGATCGCCATGCTCGGATCTGACCATGCAGGGTACGGCGAAGCTCGCTGATCCATTGACCTGGTAAGGTGCCAGCCCATGTCGAGCGAGTGTGTCAACGCAGAGACAGGGCGCGTGGTAAGGAGCGCGGGGGCCGAAGCGCGCTTGAAAAGCTGGGGGATCGAGTCCGTTGCCTCATTCCGCGGATGGTCGCAGTGGCTGGCCTCCTGCGAGATGCGGAGGGATCGAACACGAGTGCGGTCCGATGCAGTCGTGGCCACAACCTTGTCCAAAGACAGCACTCCAGCCCAGTGCTTTCACAACCGCAGGTGCGTGGTCACAAATGACACGCGCAGCCTGGGCAGAAGGAAACTGTCGACAGTACATTGCTGCCCATGGTGCCAGCCAGCTCCGCTTCAGGACTGTTCCTATCTTGGTCCACGAACGAAGGAAGGGATGGCGCCGGGACAACCCGCGCAGCCACGCAGCCCGCACGCGTGAAGCCGAGGATATCCTCGGCGACGTGGACCAGCGCGGAGGCCTCACTCTCCTTGGAGGACGGGTCAAGAGAGGCGTCGGAGCAGATGCGATGCCTTGGTTTCCCACGACTCTGGCAGGGGGGGGGGCATGCGAATTGCCAGGTCCGCGTGTGGGCTGGAGCAGCATGCCGAGGTAGCTGCAGCTAGGCTGCAGGCGCCAGGACGGGCTGAGCCGGGCATTGGCATGATGCGCTTGACAGGGCACACATCCCAAACCAAAGGAAGCTGAGTACGGAAAAGGCTCCTCGGCGTCTGTGTTGCCAGACGCAACCAGCTCCCAGGACGATGCTTGACATGAGCTCATGCCATGACTTACCGCCACCTCAGACTCGGACACCAGCAAGCCGTCGATGCCACGTCTGAATTGGCCCCTGACGCCAGAAGACGTGCAGCTCTGAGAGCGCACTTGCTGCGTGTCCAGGCCTGACGCATCAGGATGAGGGGTGGTGGTGGGTGGGCGGGTTGGGGGGGGGGACAATCCCTCGCGGTGCTGGCCCGAAGCCTCTCGGCGCCAGCACTCTGCAGCATCGAAGTCGTCGTGCGCGCGTGAGAGCGGGCAGGTGCAACCCGCGTGCTCGCCCAGGTACGTGCGCAGGGCAGCAGCGCCGGCAGCGCGCGCTGGCCTGCTGCCCCGAGCGCCTCCCTGGCTGGGCAACCCCTTCGTCGGGGCCCCTGCCTCGGGCGGGACAGCCCCGCCTCCGCCCCGACGACCTCGCTGCCTCCAGTATCCCAGGGCCTGCCACGACGACGGCGCTCCTCCCCTTGCCATCGTCCGAGCGACTCCGCGCCCAGGAAGCTCTCTCTCTCTCTCTCTCTTTGCAGTCTTGGCGCCCCCCGTCGTCGAGTCGAACCTCTGGGGCGATGGGCCAGGCACCAGCAGCAGGACAAGGAGACGGACCACCAGCTGATGCAGGGGAGGACCACCAGTGGGAGGTGGCATGTTCCGCCGGTGGTAGCGCGGCAGGCTCCGCAGCGGCAGCACGCACCGCTGGCCGAGACAAGAGGTCCTCCGCATCTTCGCCCACCAGCTCCTGCTCCTCCTCGGTCCGATCTTCACCCTCGCGACGCTTCTCCTCGAGCGCACGGGCCTCGCGGCGCCGCCGGCAGTGCAGCGAGGGGTCGACGGGCTCTGTCCTGGAGAGCCTCCAGGCTCGACGGGCACCGGCACACGCTGTCCACCCGGACCACGCCGGGCAGGAGTGCCCCCCTCGGGCGCTGGGGTCGGCATCTCCGACTGCGATGGTATCGCGCAGGGGGAGGGCTGCGTCTGCGGGCATGGCCCGGCGGCCCTCGGCAGGCTGCGTCAACCAGAACTGCAGCTCCTGGGCATGTGGTGCCTTCGGCTCCTCCTGCTGCTGCCTCAGGCCCTCCGCCTGCCGCACCTGCTGATCGAGGCTCTTCTGCAGGGAGCTGGTGATCTGGGCCACTGCGTCTGGCTCTGGTCTGGCGGCCGCTGGCTGCTGCTGCGGCCTCGCGGGCGGCGGCGGAGGTGGAGGTTTTGCCCCCGCAGCCTTCGGCTCCGCGGGGTTGGCCTGCGGTGGTACAGTCGGGGCCCTGAAGAAGGAACCCTTTTAGTTGGGGAGGGGCTCCGTGTTCCTTAATTGTTTCGCAGCTTGCCTTGGATGTTCCTTAGCTTTTCGATACGAAATCGAAGTTTAACTTATGGAATATAGGGGCCTCGTTCCTTCTTTAGGGTTCCTTAGGTCAACGCCTCGACTGTAGTGGGCGGGTGTGGCTGGGCCTCCCTGGCAGCCTTGGTGGCCCCCCCTCAGCCTTGATGTCCATGAAATTCTCATCCATGCCATTGTTCAGACCGTCGGACTTCATGCCCTCCACTTGCTTCAGGTTGTCGTGTGACTGCGCCAGCTGAGCCAGTGCACCATCACGATGGAGAAACGAATCCTGCATTCCTTTCTCCGTATCGGCTATCTTCTCGAACACCGCCTTAACGCGTTTCCTTCTGCATTCGCTTGCTGCTCAACTGGTAAGAGAGACATGCTGGCCGTCTTGATCACGGCAATACTACCGATCTCAACAGTTGGAGGCTTCCTAGCCGCTTTCATACTTGCAACTATCTCAACCAACTGATATATTCGCTGCCACGGCTAACATTTGAACAGTGCCACCATCAGTGTTAGGCGGCTCCTTCCAAGACTCTGCGATTTTGGCGAGCCCAATGTGCATGCGGCCGACCTCGTTGGCCAGCTGCCTCAAGGATTGCTCCTTCCCCTTTCGACTTTGCGATCGATCACGCTGAGGCTGGCGGCGGCGCGAATCATCGCGACGAGGAGGACGGGAAGGCTGCCTTCCCGTTTCCGTCTCCCTCGGATCCTTGGACTGCTCTTCCCACGGCGATCCGCGCTGGGTGCCGAGCCAGAAGGGCTGACCGCTCTGAACACCTGCAGACCCACGGTGCCATCGCACCATGGTGTGGCCGAGCCCTCTTCGCGGCAGCCCCGCGACATGAAGCACACGCCCCGCCAGCGGCACGGGCGCGCCGTGCGCGCCGACGCCAGGCGAGGCTCCGCCTGGCTGCGCCTCGCCGGCTGGGCGAGGCGGGGACGGCAGGCCGCGCGGGGTCGCCCTGCGGGGCGGCGCGCGCGCGGTGGGGGTGGCGGTGGGGGGGCGGCCGGCCCGCCGCGACCCGTTCGATCATAGCAGCTTCTCCTCCTCCTCCTCCTCCTTCTTCTCCTCCTTCTTTTCCTCCTCTTCCTCCTTTTCCCTCTCCTCCTCCTTTTCCTCCTCCTCCTCCTTTTCCTCCTCTTCCTCCTTTTTCCCTCTCCTCCTCCTCCTCCTCCTCCTCCTTCCTCCTCCTCCTCCTCCTCCTCCTCCTCCTCCTCCTCCCCTCCTCCTCTCTTCCTCCTCCTCCTCCTCCTCTTCCTCCTCCTCCCTCTCCTCCTCGTTCTCCCCCCATGAATGCAGGGGCCATCCAACTTGATTGCGGCTGTGTAGTCTGCCTGTTTACTCCTATTCTTTGTCCACCTCCTCTTCATTCTCCTAATCATTCTCCTCTTCATGCTCCTCCCCCTTGTTCTCCTCGTCCTCCCTCCTCCTCGTTTTTAACGCTGATCGGACCTGTAGAGCAAGCTTGTGGCGTCAGTCCTCCTCCTCCTCCTCCTCCTCCTCCTCCTCCTCCTCCCTCCTCCTCCTCCCTCCCCCCTCCCCCCTCCTCCTCCTCCTCCTCCTCCTCCTCCTCCTCCTCCTCCTCCTCCTCCTCCGTCTCCTCCTCCTCCTCTTCCTCCTCCGCTGGCGAGGCGGTGCAAGGCTTCCCCCTGCTCGCTCTGCCACTTCTGCCCCCGCTTGCGCTTCTGTCGGCGCGGTGCCCCCTTCAGGATCGTGAATCTCCACGAGGCCTTCTGGGTCGGAGACGGGCTCAGCAGACCCTGATCATGAGATCGCAGCGTCTCTTTGAACCTCCTCCTCCTCCTCCTCCTCCTCCTCCTGGCTCCTGGTTCCTGGTGGAGTGAGGAGGCGTCGACTGCCGCCCCCCCCCAAGGGCGGTCGTCCCTGGGGGGGGCTGCTCAAACTTAACAGCCTGGTCACGGCAGTGACTGGCCGTGGGACGTGTGTGTAGAGAAAGTGCAAGGACGACAGACAGAAGGAGGGAGGAGGGAAGAGACATCGAGAACCATACGCATGAGGTGACCTCTGATAGGGGCGAGAAAGGCGGCGGGGAGGCCCAGTGCGGCGGCGGTGGCTGTAGCGCGGCAGTGGTTGCACACTGAATGGGGGAGGAGGGTGGGGGAGGGATGAGGACCTCGAAGAGGAGGAGGGGAGGTGGGGAACGGCTCGCGACAGCAGCAGGTGGAAAAGGGGCGGGAGGCCGGTGGACCTCGTTAGGGTCCCCCCTCCGTCGGGTCTACTGGCCCTGTTGGGCCAGCGCCCTGGAGGGTGCCCAGGGTCCCCCCCCTCTGAGGTGCGCTACTTTTCCAGGCTGTGTGCTGAAGGGGAGCGCAGATGTGGCAGGCACTCTACCGAAGCAAACCCCGCTTGCATGGAAGCGGTGGGCGGACGCTCCATGTGACGGTTGCTGCGCTAGCAGTGCTGAGCGGAACGTGGCTGCCGAAGTCGGCGACGTGAGGGGAGGGAGGTAGGAGGTAAGCTGAAGATGCATGCCTGCGGGCGGTGACCAGCGTTGCTGCCCGCGGCGGCCTTGGTCAAAGCCTTGGCTGCCGAGGCTGGCGGCGTTTCGAGGAGGGGAGGGACAACAAAGTAGCTGGGAACGCAGTGGGAAAGGTGCGGCAGGTGGCAGATTGGAGGCGCAAGGTAAGGAGATGGCGTGTAGGCGTGCAGCTGGAGGCGCAAGAGGCGGTGGCCTTCCTGCATACCCTCGGCCAGGGGGAAGGCGCAAGAGCCGTTCCATCTGCTCATAGGAAGCCCGCAGGCGTCCCCGATGCAAGCGGCAGGATCCCTCGTCTGCAATCAGGCAGCAGGCGTAGGGATCCTGGCACGCATGGCTCGGGGCCGTCTTAGGGGGGTTCCACCGAGCGTGATGGAGGTTTGCGCCTTCCTGCCGGGGGGCAGGGTGCCACGCTCGCCTGCAGCCTGTGGCTGGCCACGCTCGCCACATGGGAAGGTTTAGGAAGTCCCCCGAAGCGCCCTCCGTTCCTGCGACTGGCACCCTCCCCTGCCGAGTAGGAGTAGGGTACCCAGGTCGCGGAGGTGGGGCCGCTTGGGGGATCTCCACCGTGCGTGGGGGAGGTTAATGCTTTCCGTGGCGACGGCGGGTGCACGTGGTCCCGCCCGCTCCTCCGCAGTATCCCCAAACCGCATCCCCCATCTGATGGTGTGGGCAGGCGACCGGGGGTCGCGGCTGCACGGCATTATGGTAGCGTGTGTTGCAGTGGGGGGTGAGATGGAGGATGACAGGTCAGCGTGGCGTACGAGCTGGACGCCTGACAAGGGAGATCGGACGGCGTGTCGCCATGCGGCCACGGCCGTCCTGACCTTCGCCGGGGCGACCTGCGGCGGGTCCCCTCGTTCTTCCCCCCTCAATCCCTAGCCCCTTCCCGCCACCACATGAGGAGGGAGGGACATCTGCGGGAGCCATCCGTAAAGTCTGCAAGCTGGCCTCTGGTCGAGAGCCAAAGTGCTCAGCGGGTGATCGCCAGGCATCGGGATGCCGGTGTGGGCACCTGCGCTCCCCAGCCGGGGGCCCCGCAGGGGAGTCAATAGAGAGGGGGGCGAGGAGCGAGGGGCAGGGCGAGGGATCGGGCGGGAGGGCGGGCGGGAGGCAGAGAGGAATATCCAGTGGCGCTGCCGCGCGATTTCGCCAACGCGCTTGGGCGGGCGCCAGGTGGGGGGGGGCGGGCGCCGGGGGGGGGGGAGGATAATCCATTCAACGTCCCTCCCCAAACGTCCTATTTGGGCACATTTTCTTCCTGGAGGGCCAGACGCAGGGAATTGGTCATGACAGTGAACGCTTGCTTATTTTGGGCTCGATGCGTCGGGTGGCCCCAAGTACTGCTCCGCAAGAAGCGAGAGGGCCCGACACACACACACACACACGCACACACACGCACAACACGCGCACAACACGCACACACGCACAACACACGCACACACGCACGCACGCACGCACGCACGCACGCACACACACATTCACACATGCACACTCTCTCACACACTCGCACGCACGCACGCACGCACGCACGCACGCACACGCACACGCACCCACACAAACACACATACATACATACATACACACAGAGACAGACAGAAACACACACGCACACACGCACGCACGCACGCACGCACGCACGCACACACAACACACACACACAACACACACAGCACACACCACACACACAACACACCACACACACAACACACACCAGACACAACACACAACACACAACACACACCACACACAACACAACACACACCACACAACACACACACAAAACACAACACACACCACCCACAACACACACACACCACACAACACACAACACGCACAACACACAACACACAACACACAGCACACAACACACAACACACAACACAACCCACACAACACCACACACACACCACACACAAGACAACACACACACAACACACACACACACCACAACACACGCAACACGACATATACAACACAGCACACACAACACACAACACACACACCACACACAACACACTACACAACACACACACAACACACAACACACACAGCACACAACACACAACACACACACCACACACAAACACACACACAGCACACAACACACACACACACAACACACACCACACACCACACACACAACACACACCACACACACCACACACACAACACACAAACAACACACACACACGCACACGCACACGCACACGCACACGCACACGCACACGCACACGCACACGCACACGAACACGCACACGCGC